TTTTTTTTTTTTTTGAAAAAAAAAAAAGAGAAAATAAAGAGAGTTTTGTTGTGTTGCATCCTAATTGTGATACATTACAAAACACAAATCATTTGAAAATAGCCTGCCTCTCTTCTAATAGTTCATATTATATATTTTGAAATGTATAATATTTGTTTTAAAAAACTAAAAATACACATGACACATGCTTCCATTAAAAGTTTTTTATTTTATAATTTCGTAAATTATAAACTAAAAATTATCAAACATACAAAACTTTTAATATTTAGTGAGTCATCTATTTAATAATTAAAAGCATACGATTTGTTACAGTATTAATCATGATACGATAATTTTTTTAAATTTTTTATATTTATATATATCCTTAATATATATGTTAAGTTTTATTAATTATTATGTTTGTAATTATTTTTTTGTCTTAATTACATAATAAAAAGTAATTTTGTTTTATTTTTATCCTACTCTACTTACATATGATACGAAGTTAAATTTAAAATATTTTATTTTAATAAAATAAAATAAATATTTAATTATTTAAGTAGTTACGTATACGTAATTAATTTAATATTAACTTTTATATGGCTAATCCATAAGATAGCTACAGCCTGAGTGGACTGTCTCGTTGGCCACGCGTCCACAGAGCTGGTAGTCCACCTGAAAATATCCAGCCCAATCATCGCCCTCCACACCTCACATCATATCCACATCTCCCACCAGCAAAAAAGGATTCACCACTCTCACTATTCTCTTCTCCCTCAGATCTGTCGTCTCGCCCACCTCCGACCCTCTGCTCCGACGATGGCCTCCGTTACTTTCTCTCCGATTACCGCTTCTTCTTCTTCTTCTTTGCTTTCTACCGTCGCTGCTGGACAGAGTTCGGTTAGGTTACCGGAGTTTAGAGGGCTCAAGGTCAGGTCGAGGAACGTCGCGCGCTCAATTGGATCGATTAAAACGAGTCCCAACTCCAGAGTCTCTCGTGGTGCTCGAATCGTCTGCGAGGCTCAGGACACTGCTGTTGATGGTATGGATCGGGATTTCCCTGTTGTCCTCTGAACTGAGTCTGTTACTTGCGTTCTGTTTTTGTTTCCCTTGGTTGCTAGTTAGAAGACTGAAATTAGTAAAAGAAACTTTAGTGGAAATTGCGTGAGAATTTCAACAAAATCACTTCCAAGATTGAATTTTTCTTTGTTTTATTCTTCTCCCTAGAAAAAGTCTTTAATTTCATACTGGTTTCTGTTTGAATCCATATTTGGGTTACATAGTAAATTGAAATATTGTCATCAGGAAGTATCAAGCTTTATTGTGTAGCTGAGAATTCTATGTTAATCATCGTTCATCATATTTGAATTTCATTCATGGCAGCATATCACATGTGAAGGAGTAAGTAAATGTGGAAATTCATCATGCAAGTTGTTTTCTAAAATGAATCTTTGTTGATTGTTCTTGCGAATTTGCAATACTATGAGAAATCAGCTCTGCTCAGAATGATTATTATCTGTTATTGGAATTTGCAGTGGCCTCTGTGACTGATGCAACGTGGCAGTCACTGGTTCTCGAATCTGATTTACCTGTTTTGGTTGAGTTCTGGGCTCCTTGGTGTGGACCCTGCCGTATGATCCACCCTGTAATCGATGAACTATCGAAGCAATATGCAGGAAAGCTCAAATGTTTCAAAGTTAATACTGATGACAGCCCATCAATTGCAACTCAATATGGAATTAGAAGCATCCCTACTGTGATAATTTTCAAGAATGGTGAGAAGAAAGATGCAGTTATTGGTGCTGTTCCCAAATCCACCTTGACAACCAGCATAGAGAAATTCTTGTAGGCCAGTAGCTCGGGTCACCTTTCATGAATTCAGCTGTTTCAATGGCTCAAGTCTAGATACATTGCTGCAAAAATAAAACTTTTATCCCCTGTATAGTTATCAAATTCAGCTGTATGATCGCTTTCGTCTTAGATTATGTAAATCACGCATGTTTCTTATTTGAATGATCATTTGGGAAGTTTGTCTTTGTTAATATCTTCCATTTCACCCAGATGCACAGTTCTCACTAGCTGGCTTTTCATTTTAAGTCGCTGGGTATCTTTTGCATCTTTCATGTATATCTAATGGTGAATATCCCCACCTATAACAGGCAGCCACGTAGTGAGCACAGAGTGAACTATTCTTTCGCCTTTTAAGCAAGAGTATACCCGTGCACCGTGTGATTTGTGGTGAGTAGATTAGATCGTGATTGATTATGTTAAATACGGGATACTGCATGAATTGGTAGAAGTACTTCAGACTTCATCCATGGTTTCAGCCAGGAATTGGTGACCAAAATCAATCATCTCTATGTATCTTTCGAGATACATAAATGCTTACAATATGTGAAGGTTCTAAACCCAGTGGGCGCATAATCATTAGGCTAAGCTTTGTTAGTCATCATTATCAAGGAAAGCAAATCTACTACATTGAATCCATAGATTTGGTGAACCTGTTTTGATATAATTGTGTATATATTGTATATATTGCCTTCTTATTTTCCTAGGGTATAGCAACTATTGTCTTGTATATATTGTACTGTTATTGGTTTACAATTAATCAATGAGGAAGTCTCTTTCTGATTCACTGCTTCTCAACCCTTTAGTGGTATCAGAGCTTTCAAACTCTCATGAGTTCTCGATTCCCATGGCCTTCAATGATGAAGCCCCACACTCTGCAGCCTCTAAACACTCAGTAATGACTATCATTAACTCCAACACCACCAAAAATCCCATCTTATTCAACTCCTCTACCTTTCTGGTGAAACTTACACCAAACAATTATGTGTCATAGAAGGCTCAAATCATATCCCTTCTTGATGGATATGAGCTTGATGGCTTCCTCGATAGATCTTGTCCTTGCCTAGTAGCCACCAACCTGTAGCTTTTGGGCATGCTAAGATCTACTTTTGAGACACGCCCTCATTACCTCTGTCTTCAAACCTATAACCCCGAATATTGTTGCTGTTGTAACAGCCCAATAGGCTTGGGAAACTTTAGCCAAATTGTATGCCAACGGTCTAGAACTCGAATATCACACTTAAGGAACGGCTTCAAACCATGTAGCATGATGGCTGCTTTGTTTCAGAATACCTCCGAGCTCCTAAAATGGTGGCTGATGAACTTGGAATGGTAGACTATCCTCTCACAGATGATGATCTCACTGTGTATATCCTGAATGGCTTAAGACCAGAATTTCGAGAAATTGCAGCCTCTCTTTGCACCCGTGACTCTTCCTTGTCCTTTGATGATTTGCACGATCGGCTGGTCGCACATGAGGAGAGCTTGAAAAGAGATGAACTCCAGCTTGATTTTGTTCCAGCCATTACTCATTATGCTGCTATCCTTGGTATGATGAATTCTTCCTTTTTACATGCTAGTCTGCATCCCTCGGTGCACACTTTCTAGTGTCAATCGTAGTCTTCCTAGCAACAATTCCATGGGAAATGTGGGTCTAGTTCACCATCTAGGCCCAATCAGTTTTGACACCTCAACCCAAGCCTACAAAATCAGAGCAGGCCCACTGGCTCCACTTGTCAACTTTGTCGCTGTGCTAAGCACTTCACTAATAACTGTCCCAATTTTTGAGTTCAAGCTCTTAGTCCCATG